TTTTACCTTTTTTTTTACTTACTAAAGCTAACATTTAAACTAAATATGATTAATAATATGTATGTACATCATAACAAACACAATCATATGAGAAACACAATAAAATAAATTAATAAAAATATACAAACTAAATAACATAAAGATAAACATAATTCTACGAGAATCATAATAAACTTAGCAAAAAAATCAACATTTTTTCTAAAAAAAAAACATAAAAAGAACATAAACATTAATTCAAGATTACATTGAAATGTAAGAAGAAATACCTAGAGTTGATGACAAACAAATAATAGAAGCAAATTCAATTGAATTTCCAAGACAACCCAAGAGAAATATCTTCCTTTTTTTTTTTAAGAAGAAGAAATTCTTTTTAAAGTTTTTTTCCTTGCAATTTTCTTTCTATCTTTTTCTCTTTTCCTTCTCCTCCTCCTATCTTTTGGAAAAAGAAGGGAGTTTAAATAGGTGTTCAACATTAAACCTTCTACTTTTCTTGAAAATTTAAGAGCCAATGCATGCATTGAACTCTTTGTTTTCTCAAGGTGCCACTCAAGATGACCAATGAATTTTTTATTTTTTTTTAATTTTTGTTTTAAGAAAAATCAGATTAATTGAATGATTCATTTGCCCTTTTGAGATTACCCTTTTACTTTTTTCATTAATTGAATATAGTTATATGGGTCATCAGAAAACAATAGGCCCAAATATCATTTAGATGACCCATTACTTTTAGGGCAACTTTCACATATAGCAAACAAAAAATTCATATTTGTATGCTATAACAAACTTTGCATAATTGCGCTCTATAGCAAACATAAAAACTGTATAATTCGCTATACATATACAAGTGTATAATTCGCTGGCCTAAAATTGTATAATTCGCTGGCCTATGTCGCTGCAATTGTATAATTAGCTTTGCATACAGTTGAATCGAATTAAAATGTATGTATATTGCATAATTATAAGTGTATAGCAAGAAGATATATGTTTTTCTCGCTTTATACAAAAACAGAAACACAATATATACACTTCTGTTGTATAAAGCTAGAAAAAATTGTACTTCACTGCAGTTGTATGATTCTTTGGCCTTTTTCTCTGCAATATTTGAAGTAAAATGTTTGTAAATTATATAATTAAGTGTATAACACGAAGATATACATTTTTGCATGTGTATATACAATTTTCTCTCGCTTTATACAAAACAGAAA